TGCTTCAGGAGCACTGATGAGAGCAAGAAGCTGAAACGTTTGCTCGGTTTGTGTCTGTTTATTATTATTTTTTTTTGTACTTAATTTAATGGAATAAATATAAATATATATTTTTGCTAGACTTGTGCGGGCAAAACTCTTTCTATTCCATTTAATTCAGATTTTTTTGTTTCACACACCTGTAGTAGTCTACTTTTTATGGAGGACAACAATAATAACTATTGTTCTTAATACTTAAAACTAAATTAACAAATGCAAAACACAAATTATTCTTCTGTTATTTTAATATTACAAGTTCTTTGGACTCAAAATTTCAAGTTAACCTGCTTACTTACTTTTTCAAGTTTAAAAGCTGCGTATTTTTACAGTGTATGTTTGTGTGTAAACAGGTAACAACCAGCACTGTTTTGGCTGCACAAAATCGCTTAATGTAAAAAAGAAGACAACGGCAAACACTTGATATTACGAGCCAAATACTCGATTTTCTTCAAGTTTCTGGACATCTTTGCAAAATGTCCGTTTTCAGTGACCTAAAATGCAGTTTGTGTGGACAAAAGGCCAAAACACAGAGAAAAAGCTATGTTTTAAAAAATACACTTGTATGCGTGGACAAGGCCTCAGACACCAGCTGTGATTTATGCTGCGTTCACATGTTGGTGGTAGATGGACGACGGCAAACCTTATTTTCCATTAGATTCAATGGAAAATTCTGCCACTGCCAGCTGTAAGTGGAGCATTACGAGTTCAACTTCTGCCGTCGACAGCAGTGAAGTAAATCAGATTTGGGGGCCATGAATACCAAACATCTCGTTGTTGAATTCCAGACAAACCCAGCATTTACAGCATTAAAGTAAAAGAGTATAGAGCGCCCCCTGCCTTTATCACCAGTAATGCTGTCCACACACGTTTGCGTGGCTTCATGCCGCCGTCAGTTGTGCATCAGGATTTCTTTTAATGCAAACATGTGAACACAGCATTGCACCTAACTTAATTTGGACAAGAACTGCCCACCTCATCAGGATGAGGCCTGACATCCAAACCAATCACAGCCTGTTTTGGCTGTAAGCGAAGGCGACTGTGAAAATCTCTCAGATGTACACAGTCGTACGCAGTAGTTTGCTGCTCCCTGGACAAACTATATGTTGTGTTGATTTTTTAAGTGATTCTCTACAGAGAACAAACTTAAACCTGACACTTTACTGCTACGGTTAGTGCACAATTCCCATTCCAGAGTTAAACATATTGTAAAATAAATAAATAAATAAAACAAAAAAATATAGAACATTTTCTTAAGCCAAGTTTTGTTTTATTTTTTCCAGTACGTTAAATTTTGCAAATAAACAGTAATTGTGCATTTTAATGTTCTCTGTAGAGGATGCGTTGTTATAGTATTAAAGATGGTTCTTCAAGGGTTCTTTAGTAAAAGGAATGGGTCTGTTTAGAGCCCGCTGGTTAAACAGCTCTTTGCATGGTAAAATGGTTTTTCAGATTGATGAAGAATGTGTTGTATATGGATATATAGCTCCAAAAAGGGTTCTGCTATGGTTATGATGTCAAGCCTGGATCCTTTTGGTGCTATATAGAACACATTCTCTATCTGTCTGAAGATTTATTTCACCATGCAAAGAACCATGTAAGCATCAAATGGTTCTACACAGATCTCATGGTTCTAACATAACCATTCCTTTTACCTAAGAACCATTGAAGAGCCATGTTTTTTAAAAGTGTAGTAAATCAACAGACCATGTCATTTGACCTGGAAGCCTAAACCTTTGCATATGTTGCTCTGAAAGGCTTATTTGTCGTCAATCACAGGCGGCTGTTTGTTCTTGCTGATTAGAATTTAGCGCGGAAGTGCGCATACGCGGCCGTGCAGATAGCCAATCAGAAAGCTGCGGACAAAATCCTGATAGTTTGTGTACACATGATATCAAACAGAGCATCTGAGGCTGAGTCCAGTTGAAATTAGGGTAGGGGCTAAACCCTGCAGGAAGGTAAATATCCAGGATCAGGATTGGTGGCCGCTTACAGTATGAGGTGTGGCTTGTTTGCACTAACTAGGGGTGTAAAAAGGCATCGATGCATCCTGCATTCGATTTGAAACTGGCAGTTTAACGTTGTTAGAAACGATTACGATCGATGAGAATTAATACTCAGTAAAGTCAGCACTCCTTTTTGGCCAAATGGAATTCTCAGGCTACAAACAGCTTGGTGTATTGTTTTTATTGTCTATACTCCACGCGAGCAGAGGTGTCAAACCGAGTTCCTTCCAGGACACAGCTCAGCAGAGTTTAGCGTTCCTCCTCATTAAACACACCTGATCGAACTCACCAGCTAGCAAGGCCTTCATGAGCTGAACTCAGTGCCGGAGCGGGCAATCAGGAGAGTCGGGAGAATTCCCGGTGGGCCAGTTACTGATATAAACCTGGGTCGGTTACTGATATAAACCTGTTACTGAACTGTAAACGTTACAACAATATCTACACTTCTACAAAAATGGTTATTCAAGGGTTCTTTAGTAAAAGATATATTACTAGACAAAACCAAGAACACTCGAAGAACCATTTGCATGCTTTTGCATGGTTCTTTGCATGGTGAAATGGTTCTTCATATTGATGGAGAACGTGTTGTATATAGTTCTATATATAACCTTTTTGAAAACGGTTCTATATATCATCCCAACAGCAGAACCCACATTCTCTATCAATTTGAAGAACCATTTTGCCTTGCAAAGAACCATGCAAAAGCATGCAAATCGTTCTAATTAGAACACATGGTTCCAAACAGAATAAAAGAACCATATTTTTAAGAGTTTTTTTGTAATAATGTTTGGAATTACTAATTGCAATTGGTCAGCTAATGAGTGAGTAAAGGGTCAATCTCATAAAGTCAGGAGAGATTAGTCTGTTCAAAGTTGGTGCCGTGGTTTCAATCTAGCGCAATATACCAATGCATGATTAAAGGTTCTCTGCATCGTGAAAGTGTTCTTTAGACTGATGGAGAATGTACTGTAGAGGGATCTACAACCCCATTTTGAAAAATGTTAATAAAAACAAAATGCAATGAAGTGCAAATAATGTAAAACCTATATTTTATTAAAAATAGTGCAAAGACAACATATCAAATGTTAAAATGAGAAATTTTATAGTTTGTCGAAAAATATATGGCCATTTTGAATTTGACGCCAACAACACGTTTCAAAAAAGTTGGGACGGGGCGACAAAAGGCTGGTAAAGTTGTGTAATGCTAAAAGAAACTCCTGGTGGTTAATTGGCAACAGGTCAGTAACATGATTGGGTATAAAAGAGCATCTCAGAGAGGCGGAGTCTTTCAGAAGTAAAGAGGAGGAGGGGTTCACCACTCTGTGAAAGACTGCACCATCAAATAGTGCAACAATTCAAGAAGAACGTTTCTCAACATAAAATAGCAAAGAACTTTTGCTTTTCATCATCTACGGTACAAAATATCATTAAAAGACTCAGAGAATCTGGAGAAATCTCTGTATGTAAGAGTCGAGGCCAAAAACCAGTATTTGCTGGCCGTGGTCTTTGGGCCCTCAGACAGCACTGCATTAAAAACAGACATGATTCTGGAGTGGAAATCACTGCATGGGCTCAGAAACACTTCTGAAAAACACTGTCTGTGAAAACAGTTCATCACTGCATCCACAAATGCAAATTAAGACTCAAGCAAAGAATAAACCAAATACAAACAGGATCCAGAAACACTGCCACCTTCTCTGGGCCTGAGCTCATTTAAAATAGAGGGGAAGTGGAAAAGTGTCCTGTGGACGAATCAAAATTTTACAATTCTTTTTGGAAATCATGGACACTGTGTCCTCCAGTCTAAAGACCACTCAGCTTGTTATCAGTGCACAGTTCAAAAGCCAGTTTTCATGATGGTATAGGGGGGCATTAGTGCACATGGTATGGGTGACGTGCACATCTGTGAAGGCACCATTAATGCTAAATGAAATATACAGGTTTTGGCAACATATGCTGCCATCCAGACGACGTCTTTTTCAGGGACGTCCTTGATTATTTCAGCAAGACAATGTAAAACTACATTCTGCATGTATTACAACAGCATGGCTTCTTAATAAAAGAGTCTGGGTGCTAAACTGACCTGCCTGCAGTCCAGACCTGTCACCACTGATAACATTTGGTGCAATATGAATGAAAAATATGATAAAGCAGACCTCGAAATGTTGAGCAGCTGAAATCCTGTATCAAACAAGAACAGGAAAACATTTGACTTTCTAAACTACAGCAGTGTCTCCTCAGTTTCCAAACACTTACAGAGTGCTGTTAAATAAGAGGTGGTGAAACACAGTGGTAAACAGGCCCCCGTCCCAACTTTTTTGGAACATGTTGTTGGCATCAAATTCAAAATGGGCAAATATTTTTCAAAAAACAATAAAATTGCTCAACATTTGATATGTTGTCTTTGTACTATTTTAAATTAAATATAGGATTTACATGATTTGTATATCATTGCATCCTATTTTTATTAACATTTTGAACAGCGTTCCAACTTTTTTGGAAACGTGGTTGTATATAGAACCTTTTGAAAATTTGAAGTTGTCACAATAGAAGAACCCTTTCTGGTGCTATATAGTTTTGCCTCTAGCTTGCTTTAAACGACATCTCATAGTACTTGTACAGTGAAAATAAAGACATCTTGTGTATAGCTTAGAAAATATAATTAGAATTTGGGGTGGGCTGTTCTAATCTGAAAACAAATCCCACTCCGGTGTTAGAAGAGGGAAAATGCTGATCTGCAGAGCTGTGGCCTGGAAGGAACCGAGCTTGACGCCCCTGCATCACTGCAAAAACAGTTCACGTTTGTGTTTTCAACATATTATTTTTAAAAAAGTTATTCTGAATCGTAATCAAATCGGATCAAACCATGGTTAAATATGAACCATTCCATGATGCACTCAGTAGTTCCCTAAATCATCGTAATCGAATCAAATCGTCATGAAATCAGAGATTTACACCCCCAGTGTTCAGTGCATTTTAATGAGCAAATCTGAATTGTACAGAAAGAATCATATTGGGGTGAAGCTTGAGATTTCACACTGCAAAAACATTAAATTCTGGCAAATCAAAGCATCTTAAATCTCGCCATATTTAACAGTCATCCCGAGATGGTTGTACAGAACACAAGAGTGTATCATCGCAAATAACATCCCGGCTGTGATTCGGTCGCAGTAAATCATTACAGCCGTGATCTTATTCACCGTAACACACGACCTCCACTGTTCTACTGCTTTTATTTTTAATTTGATTTTTTAAACTATTCTAATTTAATCTCTAATTTTATTTTTCATTTAATGATTTCTCTTTTAAATCTGTTGTTTTAATCATGTTTTTCTCATTTGTAAAGCACTTTAAATGACAGCAGTGTATGAAAAGTGCTGTATAAATAAACTTGCCTTTATAAAACAATTCAGCAAAGTCAAGGCCCAAATATTATCAGATGAGCTTTAATATTCCTTCCGCCAAAAATGTTTTTGTGATCGATAAAACTGTGTGAATATCAGGTTCAGCTTTCCAGATAAAGCTGAATGTGCTTTTGTTCCAGTCAGTCTGTAAAGTGTTTCCGCCAGTCTTGTTAGCTGAACTGTATTCTGTTGGTTTCTGGCTGATTCCAGGTTGTTTAGTTGCTCTGAAAAGCTCATTTAGGACAAACGACAGGTTCTAAAGTTGTGGAACTGCGGTTAGTCTCTTCTTTAGAATCTGACCAGGTCGAAAATTATCTTAAAGAAGGTATCTAATCCGTCCATCTTCTGTTTTTACTGTGTAGAAACTCAGTCATGGTTCACTTCAGAGTGAAGTGAGTCTTTACTAAGCAACTCTTGTTAAAAGAGCACTTTTCAACCAATCAGATTGTGAGAACAGATCTGTTTTCCACAAGTCATTTTATCTTGATTAACTGCCTTACTCTATTGGCAGATCATTTTTCTTGTTTCAAGTAATGATGCTTGAAACAAGCAACATTTTCCACCAATAAAATTGGACAATTTCTCAAGATAAAATGATTTAAAAAAAGTAAAAATGTCTAAAAATTAGTTAAATAACCTTTCAACATTCGTACAACCATCTCGAAATGAAAAGACAGATATTTTAGGTTTTAGATGATTTCACCTGCCACAATATAATTTTTGAACCAATGCAAAAAATCTTAGCAAATGAAAACGTCTTAAATGTAGCTAATATATCTGATATTTCCATCAGCAGATCATTTTGCTTGTTTTAAGCATTATTTTGATAAGAAAAGAACTGATCTGCCAGTGGAGTAAGACACCTTTTTGCTAGATAAATTACTTAAAACGAGTAAAAATGTATAGAAACAAGTGGAATAATCTTACAATATTCTTACAACAGTCTCATAATGAGAAATATTAGATTTATTTACTACATTTAAGATGTTTTCACTTGCTAAGATATACATTTTTCAGTGTAAAGCATCCTAGCGAATGGTTGTGAGGTCAGAGACTGACACCCCTAGCACGAAAACACGCGGGCACACGCAGTTGGCACAAAGTACTCCTTCCTCCGGCGCTCAGCAGTGCGACCCCGCGGCCGTGTAGTTGGACATCTCCCTGCGGATGGTGCTGAAGGGTGACAGCTCTAGCTCGGTGGTGCATTCGTGCTCGTTGTCGTCGCTGGCCGTGGCCGAGGAGCGTCCGGCCAGGCCGCACGACTCGCCGCCGCCGCAGCAGCAGCAGCAGCACTCCAGGAAGGCACGGCCGAAGGGCCGGCACAGGCAGAGCAGCAGGACGGGCGTGACGGCGGCCCGCAGGAAGAGCAGCAGCTGGCTGATGAGGTGCAGCAGGGCCATGGTGGCGGGGGGCACGCCGGCGGCCATGTAGGCCGAGGCCATGTTGCACACGTTCTCGGGCACCACGCAGGCGCCGTAGACGATGGCCAGCGCCACCACCGTGCAGTTCATCTGGCTCTCCAGGCGGATCTGCTTCTTGTTGCCACGGGCGCAGCCCCTCTCTGCCCGCCGGATGCGGCGCGCCGTGGCCAGCGAGCTGCCGATGGTGAAGAGCGTGGGCAGGCAGAAGTAGCAGCCGAAGCACCACCACAGACGCGCGCCCTCGTAGGTCAGACCCAGGACGTAGAGCGTGTCCGGCAGCGTGGAGGAGATGCGCACCACGCAGCGCTGCTCCTCGGACGGTTCCTCCGAGCCGCCGCCGTTCTCCGCCACCAGCTGCCGGATCAGCAGCTCGGGCAGCGCCAGGAGCAGCGCGCCGATCCAGATCACGGCCAGCTTGGCCGCCGTGGACGTGCAGTTCTCGATCATCTCGTAGTACATCTGCACGTTGGTGGCAGCGCGGAAACGGTCAATGCAGAGGGCGCACAGGGTGAAGGTGGTCACGCCCAGAGAGGCAACCTGGAGAGAGAAGAAGAAGAAGATGAAGTTCAGTCTCAGTCACAGCAGAAATGGAAGGACCATTTTGCAAGATCTGTATTCACGAAGGTTCTCAGCGAAGGACTGCTGGTCTGCACACTTAAAAAACAGTTCTTCAAGAGTTCTTAAGTAAAGAAAATGTTTCTATATAGAACCATGAACACTCAGAGAACCCGTTGCATGATTAAAGGGTTCGCTGCCTGTTGAAATGGTTCTTCAGATTGATGGAGAATGTGCTGTAGATAGTTCTACATAGAACCATTTTGAAAAGGGTTCTTCTATTGTTACAAGCTTGACATCGTAACAATAGAACCCTTTTTTCATGCTATATAGAACCCTTTTAAAAAGGTTCTATATCGAACCATACACAAGACATTATCCATCATATAATGAACCATTTCACGATGCAAAGAACCCTTTAATCATGCAAATGGTTCTTTGAGTGTTCATGGCTCTGTATAGAACAATTTTGTTGGCTAAGAACCCTTAAAGAACCATCTTTCTGTTCCTGTCAGTACAGTTGATGTAAATATGACAGTCTGATCCTAGATCAGCACTCCTGCTCTGCAAAAAATGGTATCTTAGCAAGTGAAATAATCTTAAATGTAGTTAATACAGTGGGGCAAAAAAGTATTTAGTCAGCCACTGATTGTGCAAGTTCTCCTACTTAGAAAGATGAGAGAGGTCTGTAATTTTCATCATAGGTACACTTCAACGATGAGAGACAAAACGAGAAAAAAAAAAATCCAGGAAATCACTTTGTAGGATTTTAAAGATTTTTTTTGTAAATTATGGTGGAAAATAAGTATTTGGTCAATAACAAAAGTTCAACTCAATACTTTGTAACATAACCTTTGTTGGCAATGACAGAGGTCATGCTGGAAGACCCACCCATGTTCCATCTTCAGTGCTCTCACTGATGGAAAGAGGTTTTGGCTTAAAATCTCACGATACATGGCCCCGTTCATTCTTCCCTTAACACGGATCAGTCGTCCTGTCCCCTTTGTAGAAAAACAGCCCCAAAGCATGATGTTTCCACCCCCATGCTTCACAGTAGGTATGGTGTTCTTGGGATGCAACTCAGCATTCTTCTTCCTCCAAACACAACGAGTTGAGTTTTTACCAAAAAGTTCTATTTTGGTTTCATCTGACCAAATGATATTCTCCCAGTCCTCTTCTGGATCATCCATATGCTCTCTGGCAAACTTCAGACGGGCCTGGACATGTACTGGCTTAAGCAGGCGGACACGCCTGGCACTGCAGGGTTTGAGTCCCTCTCGGCGTAGTGTGTTACTGATGGTAGCCTTTGTTACTTTGGTCCCAGCTCTCTGCAGGTCATTCATCAGGTCCCTCCGTGTAGTTCTGGGATTTTTGCTCACCGTTCTCATGATCATTTTGACCCCACGGGATGAGATCTCGCGTGGGGCCCCAGATCGAGAGAGATGATCAGTGGTCTTGTATGTCTTCCATTTTCTTACAGTTGCTCCCACAGTTGATTTATTCACACCAACCTGCTTGCCTATTGTAGATTCACTCTTCCCAGCCTGGTGCAGGTCTACAATTTTCTTCCTGGTGTCCTTTGACAGCTCTTTGGTCTTGACCATGGTTGAGTTTGGAGTCTGACTGTTTGAGGCTGTGGACAGGTGTCTTTTATACAGATAACGAGGTCAAACAGGTGCCATTAATACAGGTAACAAGTGGAGGACAGAAGAGCTTCTTAAAGAAGTTGTTACAGGTCTGTGAGAGCCAGAAATCTTGCTTGTTTGTGGGTGACCAAATACTTATTTTCCACCATAATTTACAAATAAATTCTTTAAAAATCCTACAAAGTGATTTCCTGGATTTGTTTTTCTCATTTTGTCTCTCATCGTTGAAGTGTACCTATGATGAAAATTACAGACCTCTCTCATCTTTCTAAGGAGGAGAACTTGCACAATCAGTGGCTGACTAAATACTTTTTTGCCCCACTGTATATAGATTACAATTACTTAAAACAAGTAAACGTATAGAATCAGGTGGAATAATCTTATAATAATTTTCCAACAGTCTCATAATGAGGAATATCAGATATATTACTACATTTAAGATGCTTTCATTTGTTAAGACATCATTTTTGCAGTATGCTCTGTAAAGCCTCATGAATATAAGCATTTATCAAAAACGAAGACATCCTTGGTTTTCAAAGTTATGAGTAATGAGTTACAGTATTATGGTTACTTTTTTACTTTTTCTGTAATGGAGAACACTTTAAATTCACTTTGAGTGTCTGGGTTTATCAAAAACTGACAAACAGTGTTGCATCAGGACGGCTTAGGGACGTGGAAAGCGCATGGCAAAAAATGAAACCTTAGCAAGTAAAAACATCTTAAATGTAGTTAATATATTTAATATTTTGTTTATATATATATATATATATATATATATATATATATATATATATATATATATATATATAATATTTTTACTTGTCTTAAGTAATTGTATGTAGTGAAAGTGGCAGATCATTTCTTGTTTTGAGAAATAATGAAGAAAATGTTGCTAATTTCAAAAAATAATGATTAAAACAAGTAACATGATCTGCTAATGGAATAAGGCACTTTCATAAGATAAACTAACTTGACACAAGTAAAAATGTCTAGAATTAAGTTACATAATCTTAAAATATTCTTAAAACAGTCTCATAATTTGTCCTCTGTCATGTCATCATTTGTCTAATGTACTTCAGCGTTGGTGCGTTTTAGTATAAAACAGTGTATTTGAAATATATTTCACAAATAAACACATGGTCATGTGTTTTAAACCCCAAACATGTCTTGGCTGATTACATTTGTGCTGAATGGAAATTAGATTTCGCTCTGCACCAGTTTTCTCTGCTTGGACCCACAGCCTGAACTGTAGTTCAACAGCTGGAAACACTTCTATGTCAACAAGTTTGCGAAACATGAAAGGTCTGCAGTCTGTTTACGCTTCGGCATTTGGAAACGTTAAAATGAGCAGAGGCCCTGCTTAATCTCGCCTCGCTATTAGAATCAGACATCCTTCAGCAGCCCAGCTAAAGGCAAGTAAACACTCACTTCCTGCTCAGACACTGGAGTTCTGATGCATAACAGGCGCCCCGTTTGGCGCGCGGGTCCCGGTGGGCTGATGCTACAACCCTCCAAAAAACACAAGCAGCAAAGTGTTTGTCTTCGTTTCAGTAATTACAGGGCAATCAGGCACGTCGACATCAAGGAGGAGACACTTAGGGGAAATGCGTGCATTGCATTTTGCGTCAATGGGCCGGTGCCAAACCTCACCGGCCCACCTCTTTCATCTCTAAAAGCGGCCAAAGCGCAGACGAAAAGCACACAGACGTACCTCATCCATTAAGCTTCATCACATCCATTAAGACGCAGTAATGGCCTGGCATTAATTCATTAGGTGTGAACTGGATTGGTGCTCCATTAGTGGATTTTTTTTTTGTTCCCCAAGGTTGTACATCAAATTTCACACCGTATGATGAGTATCTGCTCACCGTCTGCTCATATAATCATATTCACAGGGTTATGAAAGATTACTACAGCGCTCCTGAGCTGAAACGACGTTCAGCCCCGGGTCTGCTCCTTGATCCCTGCTCTGTACGTTCTCGTACCCAGGCAGAAACGCTCTGAATATTTCATATCCCGAGTGCTACGTTAGAGCAGCGCTAAACACCCTCAAACTTTCGGGAGAAAGCCTTTGATCTGCGTTTGTTTCTACAAAAATGTAGATCACAGTTAAGCTGGGTTAAAAGCCTGAGCTCTGCGGTTAATGGCCTTGTCTCAAACTGTCTCACCGAGTGGCGCCTCCAAAAATACCCAAGTCAAGGATAAAAAAAAGTTATTGCTAATATTTATTGCTCCCTTTTTTACCCATTCATAACTGTTATTTTTCCTTCCATTTGTTCTTTTCCCATCCCTCTGTTCTTCCATAAACTGATTTCCTGCTGTACAATGTTGGGCAAACCTCACCTGCACGCCTCTGACCCTCCTGTTGATGCTACTGCTGCACAGACTCAAACTAATTAATCAGAGCCACCACTTACCCTCCCTCTCCCCTTTTCTGCACTACCAAGGTTAACACCTTCTTCTCTGTTCATATCCAGAGGAGGATGGGTTCCCCTTTTGAGTCTTGGTTCCTCTTAAGGTTCCTTCCTCTTGCTCTAGCCACTGTCGCCACTGGTGACGCTCATGGGGGTTCAGACACGGGTTGTTCTGTAAAGCTGCTTTGCGACACCGTCTGTACAAAGCGCCATATAAATAAACCTCGACTTGATTAAAGTTACCCTGTTTAATTCGGTTTAGTTAATTATATATTTACCAACTATATCATCAAAAGTATGTGGACACCCCTCCTAATTATAGAGGTCAGGTGTTTCAGCCACACTCATTGCTAACAGGTGTATAAAATCAAGCACACAGACAAACACTGGCAGTAGAGGGTCGTATTGAAGAGCTCAGTGACTTTAAACGTGACTCTGTCATAGGATGCCACCTCTGCCACGGGTCAGTTTGTGAAATTTCTGCCCTGCTAGATCTGCCCCAGACAACCGTAAGTGCTGTTATTGTGAAATGGAAGCATCTAGTGATGTAACCTCTGTTAAATCACTACAGTTTTCCAAACTGCCTCTGGAAGCAGCATCCGTACAAGAACTGAGCATCAGGAGCTTCATGAAATGAGTTCCAATGGCTGAGCAGCTGCACACAAGCCTAAGATCACTATGCGCAATGCCAAGCGTCGACTGGAGTGGTGTAAAGTGCCGCCACTGGACTCTGGAGCAGCGGAAACATTCTGTGGAGTGACCAGTCACGCTTTACTATAGACAATATGTGCCACTATGCAGGTCTTGTGTTAATATATTTTACTGTTTGAAAGCTTTTTATGTTTCTCTCTTTTTATTAAGTCTTCACTGATTTTTATGAGATAACATGCCATCACCGGCCCACTGAAGACCCCTCAGTAAA